AAACAGGGCCATACTTTTAGAGGGATACTGACCAACTTGAGTATACCAAAAGAAAGGTAACCTGGATGACAAAAGGCCAGGGGGAAATGGCATGTTTATCTTTCAAAAGACATTTATCGAATACCTACTATATGCCAATCGAACAGTGTGGACAACAAACACTAGATTCCTATCCCAAAGACCTTCACATTCTGGTGTGAATATAGGAAAAGACTGAAAACAATCTAGTATGTAAAAAAAATAAGCAAGATAATTATAGTGTGAAAGAAATAAAGGCGGGAAAACCGTGGAGAGTTGGATATAATCTCTAGAGCAATTAATGAGGCAGGAGACAATCAGGAGCTTGGGGTGTCACAGATACAGGCAGGAAACTTAGAAAATGAGGGAGAGCTTGATTGTGTTGGGTGCTGCTGAGAGCACAAGATGAGAACAGAGAAGCAACCACAGAATTTGGCAAGATGGAAGTCATCTGTGACCACAACGCAAGAGCAGCTTTAGTTGGAGTATTGAGAGTGAGAGTGGGTTGAAGAGAGAGCGGGGAAATAAGAAAGTAGAAACAATCCTTTCCAGAAGTTTTGCTGGGAGTGGGAACAAAGATTAGGATGGTAGCTACTGGCAGATATAGAGTCAAGGAAAGATATATTTTAAAAGGTGGGATGTATTAGGTCATAATTAGGTGCTAATGGGAAGGATCCAGGAGAGGGAGGGGAAGTGATGATCAGAAGAGAGGGAAGATAAATGCAGACACATAATCTCTGAGACAGCAGATGGAGATGGGTGCAGAGCCCAGGTGGGGGGCTTGGCCTTTGGTAGGAGCAGAGAGACAGAATGCTTACAAGGGAAGCATTGTAACTGGAAAGAACAGAAAATGTGAGTTCAGCTGCCGAAGGTTTGTAGACTTGGTGATAGTAAGATGTCAAATGCTTCCATATTCTTAATGAAGAATGAGACTGGAGTTGGGGGCAGCATGCAGGTTTAAGAAGACAGGGAAGGTACAAGTCACTGCCTTGGAAGGTGAGAGTCCATACTGACTAGGGCAATGTAGCAGGATTGTTGGGAAGAATCAAGTGCCCATTTGAGGTCTGTGCAAGCCTCAGACATTGGCTCTGGCTGAGTAAGGCCACAGATCTGTTGGAAGAATAGAGAGAGTTTACATGGTCACAGGAAAAACTGAAGGAGCAAAGTACCAGGGACTAGCTTAGTGCC